TATGACCTGTCTTTCTTTTCAGTAACAGATTGCAAGTGACTATATAACATACACCTAAAACACTGGGGCGGGGGGGGGGGGGGGGGGGGGTACTCTTTTGCCCCCTTTTGATGCCTATGTCAGAAGCTTTCTCTATCTCCTTTATACTTTAATAAAACTTTATTACACAAAAGCTCTGAGCGATCCAGCCTCGTCTCTGGCCCCGGATTGAATTCGTCTCCTCTGGAGGCCAAGAATCCCGCGTCTAATCGTTCAGCAACAACCTTTCAGTGTATTGAGAATCAGTCTATACCAGTATACAACCATTGAAAATATCTACTCTATTCCTCTGTTGCATCTAAACCCTACCTTGGCAGTGAGAGAGTCAATTCTTAGCTTTGTTTGTTTGAATTTATTTATTTTAATGAAACAAAGATGAATGTTTTTAATGATAAAAGGTAAAATTCACAAAGAAGATGGACATCAAAAACGCTTAGACACTAACAACAAAAGCAAACAAACAGAAGAAATTGTCCACAGATTTGGTATGAGGAAAGGGAGAGGAAAAACTTTAAAAAAATTTTTTAATATTAAACAAGACCATTTTTATAGTTGGCAGTGACTATATGTAGCTGCACGATCTGCTACAGACATGGCCATCAGGTCAGGAAAGAAGAGCCTATATTAAAACACAGAAAAGGGGAAAGAACAAAGCTGTCCTTTTATTGTACTTTACTAAGCTAAACTATTTGTATAAAACTAGCTCTTCTGTGTGGTAAAGAATTTGACCTTGCCCCCAAAGAGCTTGGCCTTTGTCCTAAGCTTGTGCTGGGTGTTTGATGTCTTTGTTCAAAGATGGGGGCTTTGACTGCACTGGACTTTCCTGTGGTGGTGGTCCTGGCTGGAAAACCAATCATGTGATTGAGAGTAGGGGTTTTGTGCTTGCTTCAACAACACATATATTAAAACTGGAACAATAGGTGGGAGCTTTGGAATTTCATGGTATCAGTTGACCTGGCATTATCAGTTGAATGTTTGTGTTCTTCCAAGATTAATATATTGAAGTTCTAAACCGCAACCTGATGGTATCTGGAGATGGGGCTTTGGGGAGGTAATTTTGGTTAGATGAGTTCATGAGGGTTGGGGCCCTGTTCCAGTGAGACTGGTGCTCTCATGGTAGCTCTTTCTCTGTGAGCCCAGAGCAAGATGGTGATTAAAAGTTGGGAGAAGAGGCCTCAAAATGATATCTACCTTACCAAGACATTGATCATGGACATCCCAGCCTCCATAACTAGAATAAATACATTTCTTTTGTTTAAGTTATCCTGTTTGTGGTATTTTGTTATGGCAGTCCAAACAGAATAATCTACCTGGTGGCTGAGTTAACCACATGGGCAATCAATCAATTATATACCCATGTAACAAAGCCTCAGGAAAAACTCTGGACACTGAAACTCAGGTGAACTCTGTTTGACAATATTGCAGGTGTACTGTCACCATCACTGCCAGGAGAGTAGATCTTCCAGAAGTCAATAGAAGTTTCATATCTGGAACCCTCCCAGACTCTGCCCTATGCATATCTTCCCTTGGCTGTTATTTTCATATATTGTCTTTCCCTGTAGTCATCTGAAATCATGAGTATACTGGCTTTCAGCAAGTGTTGTGAGTTCTTCTAGCTAATTCCTCAAATTTAGACTGATTATGGTAACCTCCAAAACTTGCAGTTGACGTCAGAAGTCTTGGGCAGAATTGGCAGAACAGAAGTATGTATCCTCAAACTTCACAATATGGATAACTTGTATAATTTTATCATATCTATGAGAATAAATGTTTTTTAAGTCTAACTAAATTCATATATATTGTCATGTTGCTCATACAACTGATCAAATTAATTAGCATTAGTATAATTAATAATGTATTTTTCCAGTTTATAAAAGTAATATAAAAAGATAAAAATTAAAGAACAAAATATATGTCATTTTAGAAAAATTTAGGAAATAAAATGGAATATAAAAAAGGAAATTAAAAGGATTACTAATTATATCAACCAGATACATGCAATATGATTCTATTAATCTTTTAGTGTATTAACATATGTGGAGTCATATGAGCTAATATTAACATATTGTTCTGCAGAAAGGTTGTAACTACTTTCTAAGCACTGCTGAATTTCTAGACTCCAAACAATGTCATCTTTTCTTAGTCTCTTTTTATTTGTTTACTTGCTATGCTCTTCTTTCTTCTATATGTACAGTTTATTCTCAGAGTGGCAAGATAACTGCAGTAACTGAAACATCATATATTCTTGGGTTCAAGTTCAGTAGGAAAGCTTGTTTACAGGCAGACCCCAGAAACAGTCTAGGAATTGAATGTTTCATGCCCAACCCCGAACTATTGACTGGCTTGAGCTTAGACTACGTGGTTCACCACTATGGTTGTGGGTGGGGAGGAGAGTCCGCAAATGAACTTCATGGAGTGATGTCAGAAGAGGAGAAAAGAACTGCTAGAGGGTTCAAGGAAAAACAAATGGTAGTCACAATATACTTAAAGGCTATTGGTAGTTCTCTGTGAGTTATTTCCAAAATATGTCCTGAAGTATTAAAATTTTCTTGTGGTTTTGTTTTTTAAAGAATAAGAGCTTAAGGTTCTAGATTATATTTCTGTCAAATTTCTTAATCATATCTTTTCTTTCCAGTTTGTCATTACATTTTATTTGATGAACATTTGTGTACAGGAATTTTTCTAAGGGATATAAATTATCCATCTTTTGTGGTTTCTTTCATTTGTTTTGTGCTTTTAAAATTCCTCCATGTAATACAATCAAAAAGTATCCACATATTTACATTTGTATTGTTTATTGTTTTGCTTTCATTTTGTTTTATATTTCTTGAATAGTAATATTATAGTATTTGTTCATGATCCTCCATACGGCATACAAAGAAAAACACATTGGCATGCCAAAAGAGTACTTCATATTTTTCTGAAATTTGTCTGCTTGATTTTCTCTGTTAGAAAATTCAGACAACTGTGTAAACTCTACACATCCTTTAATGAAAAATTAAAGAATTCTGTCACACTTGAGAAACCCATGAATCATGCTTCTCTCCTGTTTGCAAAGGCTAGCCATCTATAGAGCTTTGCAACCACAGATCTTACCAATTCCTGTCATAACAGGAGATGAATTCCTAATGGTTATGTAGTGTGTGTTGTGGTCATGTTGGATATGATCTGACAGTCTAAGATCATTCCTCAGGAGGAAGAAGAAATAATCCATTGGATAAAGATTTTTCTCTCATGTCCTAATTATGAAATCTTTTACTCTACCTTTTTTGAATTTACTAATAATTTAGCACCTTAAAACATTCTGGCATCACATCAGGAAAAAACCCTGAAAATAGATAGGAGCTGAGTAGGAAAATTCTGCCTCACTGTGCCTAACAAGACCATCACCTCTGATAGCTCCTAGAGAGCAGAAGGAAACTGTCAAGGTATCTCAGCTGAAAGATTCCCAGGGGCTTCACCAAAACACCATGGTCTCCTAAATAACCAGCCTTTCTGACTAATTTGTAGTCATATGTTTCCTATCTTATTCTGATTTGTGAGACTTGTGAGGATGTTTCATCTAATTCTATGGGAGGGTTGGAGAAATGAATCCCATGCAATGGTTAACAATAAGGAACATTAAAAAAAAAAAAATAGATGTGTAACAGGGGCCTAAATTGAAGGACAAAAGCTGGGAGTGCACCATGATCTCCAGCTTGTCAATTCTTTTCAGGCAAAAATGAAGGGTCTCCTTAGACAAATTGAGAAAGGACCCTGAAGTCTGACAAGTAACCTCACAACCAAGAATCTATATATGACAGGTACCAAAACTCCTCTCTCTCATTTCACCATAATATTCACATTCAAACAAGCATCAAATACTGTGAGATTCACCTCTAAGTAATCATTTGTCCACTTTAACCTGTCACAATCACCAATTTAGAATGAAGCTCAACTGTTTTACTGTAATAAGTTCTATCCTGCCCCCACCCAATTCATCTCCAGTCTTGCCTTTTTCCCTTTTCCATTGCAGTATGAGTCAAAGAATGATCTTCCTAAACACCACTCCTAAAATACCACTTCACTTCAGGAATTCCTCTTTGACCTTTATATAAAATCTAAACTTCTTAAAATCACTCTCAGCGTCCTTGGGATCTTGTGAACCTATCCAGCAGTCTCTCTTCCCATTCTCCTGTCATACTCAATGCTTCAGCATCCTCAAATTCACTCAGAACTTTACCTACAACATCCTCTCTTATTCTCCACGTCTCTGCTTTAGGCTTTTCTTCTTCCTTTGAAAGCTGTATTCTCCATGTATCCATTGGACCTCCTCTCCTGCATTAGTCTAAGGAGTGTTGATCCTTGAAGTCTCCTCATATAGAACATTTTCTCCAGGAACCAAATTCTAACCCTCCAAATCAGCAATAGTTGCCTCTCCTACAAGCTTCTATCACACCCCGATTGTCTAACATTCTCTGGCATGTCACCCTGGATTATAATTACCTGCATCATGTTTGATTTTTTTTTCTATTTCCATACTTAACAAACTTCTTGGGCAGAGATTGTGGATTTCATGTTTATCAACACACGCTTGATACACACTAAATTTAAATCATTATTCACATCCTTGAACAACATAAAACTCACTCTGTGTTTGGGAAAAGAATGGCTTCATCTTGACTTGTGTCAGTGAAACAGTTGATAGTAATGTCCTCCATTTTAGCCTAGGGAAAGCTGCTTAAAGTGTCCTGCAAGAGACAGCTATAAAAGATCTGTAGATAGCAATTATTAATAATAAAGGAGCATACAATAGTCAAGTTGCTAAAAGAAAGAAAAAATAGAAATATAGGGGAAGAGAAGGGCTCAAAACTGGTATCAAATCATCAGAGTGATGAAGAGAGAAACGGGTTGGGAATTTCACCCATGGTCGAGGGTCCTTGGTGAGTGGAACAAATCCAGTTGGCAGGGACAGAGGTACGATGCACGGTAGCGGAGCTGAAATAGCGAGGACACAGGAAACAGTGAAGGCGGACATCTCTGCAGATCAAGGTATCAAGAGGGAGAATCAGGACAGAAGTGGAAAGAAGATTTAAAAGGGCATAGAATACAGAGATGCCTCCTTAAGATCATGTGAGGAGGAGTGGGAAGGGTGTTGGAGTGTTCCTGGTTTCTAATCATTCCACTAGGTGATGCTCAGAGACAATTTTTAACTTTATTGTTTTGGCACCCACAGTCCTTGAATGATATCACACAACAGTGTAGCTTTTGAGGGACGCAAATGATGACTATGTGTATAAATATAAAATCACTGTATTACATAATAATGTTACTTTTTATTGAGCCTTCACTTAGAGACTGGCAAGAGGTAAACTAATAAGTATGCATCATGCTACTTCTGGTAGGCTGAATAAAGACCTAGGACCTGTGAATGTTTTCTGATATGACCAATGGGACTTAACAGATATGATTAAATATCTTGAGATGGAAAGATTATTCTGGATTATCTATGTGGCTCTAAATATAATCACAAGGAATGCAGATGGCCACTAGAAGTTGAAAAAAAGCAAAAAAAAAAAAAAAAAAATTCTCTCCTAAGGGCCTCTAGAGAAACCTGCCAACACCTTGACTTTAACCAAATGAAGCTTGTTTAGGACTTCCGAGTCTAGAACTGTAAGAAAAGACATTTGTATTGCTTTCGGCCACTAAATTGTGGTAATTCGTTATAGCTGCCAACAGGGAACTAATATCCTACTTAGTTCTCACAACCACTCAATGTACCAACTATGACTGGAAGTACAGTTCAGGTGTCTAATCCAGGTAGTCTGCATCTAGTCCTGGAAGTCTGATTCCATGAGAAAATTGACAGACATGCCCCGTATATACCTATGGTCAATTCAGGTGGCTCAGTGGTAAAGAATCTACCTGCCAATGTAGAAGAGGCAGGAGGCATGGGTTTAATCCCTGGGTAAGGGAGACCCCCTGCAGGGGGAAATGGCAACCCACTCCAGCATTCCTGCCTGCACATCTCATGGACAGAGGAGCCTGGCAGGCTACAGTCCGTGGGTCGCAAAGACTTAGACGTGACTTAGTGACTGAGAAAGGCATGGGCACAATCATATTTGTGCTTTTGATCAACCAACATCAAACCTTCAAAACTGGAAAGGTACATTTTTGGAAAGTTGGAAAATTTTTTCAGCTATTTTTCAGCTTCAGCTTCCTGATTGTTTCCTATAACAGAATAATTACTCCTTCTAATAAAGATTTTGAAAAACTCTCATAAGTCATATTAATTATTAACTATTGCAATCATGTTATTATTATACTCACACACACATAATATGCTTAGCTGTAATTAATGTAGGATTCCATTCCAGAGGGAAAAAGGTATAAATTTCATAATGCGCATAGTTGACTATTAAAGATTTGAACCTACAAGTTAGCAGACATGAATTTCAGCCACATACTTTCTCCTTAGAGTACAACCTTGAATAAGTAATTTAACCTCTCTTGATTCTCTTATCTATAAAATGTGGAGTTTGCCCTATCAGCCAACTTCCTTCTCTAAGATTCTAGGAGTCTGTGATTCAATTTGTTCCTTAAGCTTGTGGATGACACTGGACTTTTCCAGATAGAAAGTTATATTTTGCTGGTTCTGAATACACTGTTCAAAGCTTGATTCTAAACAGAAATCCATCCATTTGGTCTATTCACAACTGCTTTGCCTTGCTGGGAATGCTGATTTTGTAGCAGACTCAGACTGAGGGAATTACCCATTACCGGCTGAGCCAAAATCTGGAGAAGCATTTACTGAGCATGCAGTATTTGTCAAACACTTCTGCATATTATTTCTTTAATCCTCACCAAAAAACTTTCAAAATAAGTGTATCATACTAGTTTAATAGGTGAAGAATTTGTAAGAGACATACATAACAAGAATTTTTAAGTGGTAAACTATCCTGATCCCAAATCCATGGCTTTTCCACAATTCCATACTATATAATAATAGCTTCTACATGGTGAGTGCTGCAGGTGATTTTATTTTCTAAAAATGGTCACACAATGTATGTAACCCATCCCACATGTTCGGAGTACGTGACTGAAAATCTTCCCATTAAGAGGTATTGTTCCATTGTGTCTGGGCAGCGACTTGTAAGTGCTCTAACAAATGGAGTATGGTAGAATCATATTACTGAGTTCTGCTCTCTCAAGACACTCATCCTAGCAACCCAGCCATCATGCCATGTGTGTGTTATGTTTTTCCAGCAAGAATACTGGCCTGGGTGGCCATGACCTCCTCCAGGGGATCTTCCCGACTCAGGGATTGAACCCACATCTCTTACCTCTTCTGCACTGGCAGGCAGGTTCTTTACCACCTGGGAAGCCCAACATGGAGGCGAGGTTCATGGGAAGAGGTAATTGCTAAGGTGAAGGACAGAAGAGCAGATAAAAAACCATCCCCACTGTGACCTGACTGAATTCTGGAGCCACAAAACATGTGGACAGCTGTACACCATTAAGTTTTGGGGTGATTTGTTAGGAAGCCTTGGAAAGTGGAATAAGTGTATGTCATATACGTGTGTGTGTGCTAAGTCACTTCAGTTGTGTTTGACTCTTTGCAACTATGAACTATAGACCACCAGGATCCTCTGTCCATGGGATTCTCCAGGCAAGAATACTGGAGTGGGTTGCCATGACCTCCTCCTGGGGATCTTACTGATGCAGGGATTGAACCTGTATCTCATGTCTCCTGCATTGTCAGGAGGGTTCTTTTCTACTAATACCTCCTGGGAAGCCCATGTCATATACACAGCACCTTAACATTTTCTCATTTTACAGAACTGAAAACAGGCTCAAATAGATTTTATGACTCATTCTGACCCATACTATTAGTATGTAAAGAGACGAGGATTAAAACTCAGGCTGTTGTTCGGGGGCTTTTTGTTTGCTTGTTTTTCCCAAAACCCATGTGACATTCACTTTACTGCATTATCTCCTGAAAGTATCCCAGTCTGGAAGTTTGTAAAATTTTTGGATACTCACAAGCCTACAGAATAAACCACATTTTAATATGACATTAAATTTATAATATTTGGTAAGTCAAAGACCATTCTATATATGTAACCTAACATCAACAAACAAAATCTTTTAGGAGACCTCATTATTTCTAGGTCACTTATATCTTGGGCCATATTATCAGTTTCATTGGCTTTAAGGTATATTCTTATCTTGTCATTTTACATTGGAAGATATAAGGACATTTTATTTTGAGAGATGTAGCTTTCACAAGAAATACAGCAATTAATACATTAACATATAATGTAGTAACATTTTACTACTTCAAGTACACTGAATAATTTGACTCATTAAAACTGATTTCATATAAGCCCTTGGAAGCAGATGTAGTTGACTGCCTATCTAAAAATCATTCCATCTTAATCCGTGTTCTCAGAAATATGATGTTGTTTGATACCTACCACCCCTCTTCCAGGCTAGTGACAGCTTATTTTTTAAATTAAGATGAGTTTTGCTAAATTTTTTTGTCTGTTAGGAAAAAATATCTTAAAAAGAAATTATGAGGTAACTGATTTGGAGGAGGAAGTTCTAAAATAATATTAAAAACAGCTCTTTCTTTTAAAATTAAGTCACTGAAACACTAGGTCAGACCCCAAAGAATGCTTTGTTCTGATTGCTTATTTTAGATGTTCCACTATGTCTTCTGCATTTCTTCTCTGAAGTCAGACAATTTTTTCAATTTTTTAACCCTCTGTGGAAATAGGTCAATAATTTCACTGTGAGATTAAATGTTGATCTTCCTTTCTTTAAATATGAAACAATATAAATACTGGTACATTGTATAAATCTTTGCTATGCCTTCTCAACTATAATACAGTTGTTGCATTGTTTTATTTGTTTTAAGAGGAGAATGTTCCCCTTAGAGTAAATCAAGTATTTTGATTGGTGTAATAGATATTTGAAACTAGTTTTAAGGTGCTGTGCCTTTTAGTGGTAATTTAACAAATTCAAATGCTATCTAACATCCTGAGAAATTTTGTCACTGATAGAATCTGGCTCACAGTGAATGAAATGGAAGGCATTTTTAAAGTAGACATATGTTTCTAATAATACTCTTGTGTATGCACTGTAATTCTTTCAATGTAGATGAGGTACACTGGTGACATCATCCTTTAAATTCTCTTTAGGTAAACCAGATGGTTGAATGTGAATGCAGTAATAATGTTAAACTGTCCAGAGAGGGTAGTTTAATCATCTTTAAGAATGTAACTAATACCCAACATGTGTATTTTTAAATGGGTATTTATATTGAAAAAAAAAATGATGTCCCCAAATCTGTTTCAGACAATGTTCAGTTAAACTAAGTGATAAAAGTTACAGGTTTTCCTTAAAAAAAAAAAAAAAAAAGGGGAAAAAAAACAATATCTTGAAAACTACAATTACGATATAAAAATGGAAAGAACAAACAGAACTTCAACTTCTTTGTCCACTCTTGAAACCTTAGAGCTAGAAATTTGACAAATAAATCTTGTCTTTGTGGCTTTCTTGTGCATTCCATATACATAATGTCATGGGAAGAGATTAGCTTCTTATAGTGATATAATGAGTCTAACTCAGGTTGAAGCCGAAGGAATCAAAGTAAACTGAGTTGATCCAAAGAAGAAAAAAGTAAAAATAAATTTTAAATTTGAGATTTGAGATTTTTATAAGTGCAATTTCACCATAATTAATGGTTTGCCTTGGATCCTAGCCAGTGAGTTTCCCCCCACCCTGAAACTATAGATATACTAGGAAAAGAGAAAAAGTTGGGCAGAAGGAAATATATGAAGTTAGCAGAGGTGTAGTAAAGAAGATGTACCATTTGCTGATAAGAGGAAATGCACAGCATTTTAACTAAACATTCAAAGTTAAAATAAGTTTGAATTGATAGTTCCAAAGATTGTGCTAGATTTTACTTTTCTGAGGGTGTCACAAATCTCTATTTAATCTTACATAAGCTTAAAATGATCATATATTTAAGGTGGATGATCTATGCT